TAGAAGTTTGCTCGATTATTTAACGATCAACACGTGTCAATCTATAAAAAGTACGATATCGATCGTCTTCTTACCAGTGTTGAGCAAAATTTAATTGTTCTGGCAATTAAAAATTGACAATTAATTAATTGTCAATTGCGAAACAGCATCTAACGATTAGTCAATTGTTAGTTGCGAGAACCGCAATTAACAATTAATTAATTGTTAATTGCGGTAACTAACAATTGATCAATCGTTAATCGCGTATATCTACAATTAACAATTAATCAATTTTCAATCTTTTCAATGTTTTTGATTAACAATTAAAACTGACAATTGGATTAGGGGGTGGGTCACTCAACCCTGACCGCACCCCAACCGGCCCCCCAACCAGCCCCCCAACCGGCCACCCAACCGACCCCCCAACTGGCCCTCAACCGACCACCTAACCGACCCCCTAACCCACCCCCTGACACACCCCTAACCCATATTCGTAATGACACTTTTATTCGGTACTTTCGGTTTTAATTGTTAGTTTCAATTGTTTCTTAGAACAACTAAAAAAATTAATTGCAATTAATTTAATTGCAATTGAATTGATTTTTTAATCTGATTGAAATTTAATTGATTAACGCCCAACACTGCTTCTTACACATTTACTCGATTTTCTCCGATTACGCATGTCGACGAAAATACGATGTTGATCGTTTGCTGTTTACAAATTTACTCGTTCTGTCTGATCACATCGTCAAAAAATCGAGCAAATCTGCAAGCACCTTTAAACAACGTTGTAGTGATTTTTTAAACCCTGAAAATAATAACGTGTATGTGCATTGAGTGAGCACCCTCTGAAGAACGTTTATGATAAAATATCAGTCATTTCGTAGAAATTCTTCAAAAATATAATGCCACGCTTATTAGAGATATTATATTAGACGCTACCGCCGACAATTTTACGATCTCTTTTGTAAGTCAATGGATCTATTTGACTAAGTACCTATTTTAAAGTTTACTTGTCAGTCAGTATATTAAATACCTATTGTATCAGTCATGCTACAAGATCGTGGTCTCTTTCTGTTTCTAAATACACTTCAAAAGCTATAATACTTTTTTCCTTTTATTGAGGAACAAACAGTTTTTTAAAATTATAAAATAAAAAAAAAACAAATGAACTTATTACTAAATCTATAGTTCTCTGTAGGTACTTATAGCTGAACAAATATAAGATATGCCCAAAGACGAGCAATGCTCGATTAAATGAATAAAAATCAATTACATTAAACATAACAAAGAAAGATTGAACAATTAATAATAAAAACCGTTTTAGAATTTGATTTATGTCGATTTTAAACTCCTGCAAAGAAGAATCATATCTTAACTTCACTACTTATATTTTTCATTGCAAAAAGAACAAGTCCTTTTTAAGAAACCTGCAACCGTAACATGTTTTACTAAACGTAACAACAAAAAGATATTTTTGGCGATTGACTCTCATTATTTCATGACACACGAAAATATATATTTTTCAACAAAAAAGGGACGTCTACGTGTTATGCAAAATTTTGTATAAACATGTATTGTCAATTAAAGAACGACGATTCTGCAGTGGAACAGTATTGTACTACATAAGCGATGCCTCGTAGTCTATGTACTTGAATTAAATACTGTTGAATGCCAAGTATATTTAAAAGTTTGGCTTTCGAACTTATTTTTGCGTTAATATGTGATTGTACAAAATGTAAACAAAAACTAAGTTATCGGTTATTTCATTACTTAAATGACACTATGAAGGCTGTGCTATCTCACCACCGCTCCACATGTCTTTCAACCCTGACATTGGCAAAATCGTCGCGCAAAACGACGGAGCCATAGACACAAAAGTTGAAGTTGAAGGCTGTGCGTCTGCCTACCCCGACGGAAGAAAGACGTGAAGTGTAATTTTTTTTATGATAGGTACCAAGTGAAAGAACGAATAAGTTGTGCGCCTGATGTTAAGCGACACCACGCCACTCGGAGCTTTAAATCGCAAAGATTAGAGAGACACGGCCATTGCGCCTGTCACCCTGAGACAAATTGACAAGTTCCATGTGCCTGTTATTTCACCATGCTCACATTACCTACTGCTTGGCGGCAGAAATAGGTAAGGTGGCAGAGTACTTCCCTGGACGAACTCTTTCACAAGGAGCTCTACACTGCTACTAAAGCTCTAGTCCCGATCGAAACTCAAGTCTAGGTCATCCATAGTAACTAAACGGTCGTAACTACGGATTTCGTGGTTCGAGGGTAGCCCTAAGGCGTTAAGCGGTTGATAGCCTATCTATGATTATCCCCCTACTTACGATAACACAAATTATGAATGTGACGTCATTAATGATGTCAGCAAAGCTTGAAGTTTTGTACCAGTTTGTAAATAAGTCAATTCATTATTATGGAGCACAGTTTAACTAATAATTATTCGACTTATGACTTAAATTATGTATTCGACTTTACTAATTTCAATGGTTAAACATAGCAAGTTTTAAGTGTATCCTTTTATTTTTCCTCCTTATATACTTACCTGTTTGCTTTATTGCTACATTAGGTATGTATGTGTAATATCCGGCATTTGTTCACACATGAACGCGTACAGAAAGCTCATCCAAATAATCTCATTCGGGGACCAATTCTCATACGTAGCGACATTGTCGAAATAATGTCGCTTCCTCTACGTCGACAGAAAATATATATGTATAAAACCGTTTTTAATCTCTATTCGTATACGTTCTGTTTTTTTCTATTGCAGCTGAAACTTAACAAATAAAACACAGACTTAATTAATATAAGTCTGTGTTTAAATAAGCTTTCACCCCTGATCTTGCCTTTTACACTTAAATCTAGAGCTGTCAAGTCTGTTTTGTTTGATTGAAATAACTGAATGCAACGAAACGCATGGTTGTGACCTGTGACATTTCAGTGTCAACAAGTCTATCAAAAGACAAATGTCAAAATTTTGCCATTTAAGTGTTTCAATAGAATAGGACTTCGTGTGCGACATTTCTACTGCCTTCAACCGTTCGTTACCTATATGTCGAGCGGGAAATGTTGACAATATGAGAACAAAACCAGTTTGCGATCGACATCCGCCATGTTTGCTCGACATTTTTATATTGTGATATTTTCATTCCAAAAACCGGACATGTAAACAATTTAACTTAAAGAAAATGAATGTTTGTGAAAGTGCAGGCGCTGCAGTGCGGTGCTAAAGTTTGAATATTGATTTCTTGTTAATTGAGTTTTAAATTGCCTTTCCTTAGAGTTTATTTATCATCAAAAAAGTATTTCATATTGTGAAGACTGAAGAAGTTTTACGTGAGTAAATTAATTGTCTTATTTACTTTTTTATTATATTTATTTACAAAGTATATATACTGTATACCTTCTTAAATTAGGTTCGATAAAAGTTGTTAAGGGCAATACCGTCTATGGATAAAAATTTATCGCCAATTGTATTGAATATCGATTTTTAGCAATCTACGACCACGATACGTCAGCATCAATGCCTAAAAACCTACGAATGATTCTTAGATTTTTAAAGTTCCATTTTCGTTGGAAAGAGCTTTTCTCTGATACAAGATTATACAGCTGTGTGTAGTATGAGCCTCCTCGTGTGGTTTGACCACGTTTTAGTAAGCAGTAGAGCTCCTTGTGAAAGAGTTCGTCCAGGGAAGTACTGCCACCTTATCTATTTCTGCCGCTAAGCAGTAATGTTAACTTTGCTGTGTTTCTGTTTGAAGGATTAAGGGTGCTGGTGAAATTACAGGCACATGGGACTTATCAACTTATGTCTCAGGGTGAGGGCGCAGTCGCAGTCCAATTTAAAAGCTCTGAGTGGCACTGCAAATGTTATGGACAGGCGTGTAGCGTACCATCAGGCGCACGATTTGTTCGTCCCGTCACTTGATATTATAAAACCAAAACGTAAAATTAAGCAGAACTTAAATTGTCTTCGATCCGTACACGTTCCATTAAACAAATTTGTATTTGTCGAAGAGGATGAGTTTTCCTAATAGCGAAGTGTGCAGGTGCCGTTATTTGCACAGTAGGTTGGTTGGTTATGGTACGTTTATTGCTTCATTCCGTTTTGTTTGAGCCAATTAGTAGTGCAGAGGTTTTGTATATATATATACGAGTTTTGTTATGTAGTATTTTATTCTTTTCTAAGTATTGTTTTTCTAATGATACTGACGTGTACATTAATGATCTAAATCCCTAAATAAAAAGAGTTAAAAAATTGCATACACAACTATACAACTAAAACTACTAACAAACTAACCAACTAAACAAAATATAAGAAACTAAAGTTTCTCACTGATGAATTTTACAAAATGTTAATGATGCGTACTCATAGTTTTTATATTTACAATAAACTATTACATACTTCGTCTAGAAAGTAATTTGGACCCTACGAAAGCTTTTTACCTTCAGTGAATATCCATTTTAAACCGACTTCAAAAAAGGAGGTTCTCAATTGGACTGTTTTTCAAGGTGTATATTACGTGAACCGATATCGATGATTCTTTTTTGTTGGAAAGTGTGTGAGGTATTCAAATTTTAAGAAAATATTGGTCGTTACTCTAGAACAAGTCTACTCCACCTGCCATCAGCCCTCCTGCAGACATGTCCTGCCCACTCTAAGGTAAGTGATTAGGACATACAGTAAGCTTAAGTTAAGCTTACTATATGTCCTAATCACTTACCTTATTATTAATTTATCAAAAAACGTATTCCAATTAACGCTACACATACATACGATTTACCTCCACCTGTCAACACCTAGCAAGGCAAGGTGATGATAGGTGGACCAAAACATCGACTAATTAGTGGCCGAGGATGGGCAAAAGAAGCGTAGGGCGCCCTGTTGCAAGGTGGGTCGACGACATAGTACGTGTCGCGGGGCGTGGATGCGGCTAGCACGGAACTGTGGTGGATGGCACAAACTTCGGGAGGCCTATACCCTCCTGCAGTGGGTGAAATCAGGCTGTGGATGATGATGATGATACATGCGATTTGAGAAAGGTTTCGAATGGGCGATTTTAAATTCTGAAAAAAAATCTTTTTAACAAAAAAAAATTATTCGCGAATTGCATTGGAGTACTTACCTACAAACATACCTTTTGCCAGTGTAGTATTTTACTTACTTACGTTTCAGGTCTCGAATTCGTTTCCACATGAAGTAGACCTTAAAAATGTCTTCAGGCGACAATGATGACCATCCAAGCAGCGGAGTGGTGTTACTTCAAGCACGCTCCAAGCAAATCGCTAATCAAGTAAGCAATTGACAAGCGCATCCATTGACTGCTAACCGTATTTCCTCTTAATTGTTTTTTTTTTGTATTTATAGACTTTGGACTCAACGAGACGCATGGTTAATATGACTGACGAGGTAATTTTTTTTTTAAATATACGATAACTTTCGGGCGTAAGATTAAGCACGATAAGGCGTAGGTTTCTTTTAGCTTCTTTCACTGTTTAATGACATACGGCATTTGGCTTTGGAGTAGTGTCGCTGATACTAATAGAATCTTTGTCCAGAAAAAACATGCGATTAGAGTAATTTAACGAAATTAAATTCTTACATTAACGTCACAGTACATCTATGAAAATTTAATTTATGTTAAGAAGAATTGTAATTTTTTTATCAAAACTTGTCATGCACATTAACGTAATAACAAAATTGAGTTCACAAATTCATTTAAGGGGCAGTGTATACGCTTTCATAATAACATTCCGGTTTGTATTCAAAATTTGCCATATATAGTGAAAACTTGTCTAAAGATTATTACACAGCTTCTCCATAATTGGATGACAAAAATTAGTGGCAGTGAGGTCACCCATTTAGCTCTTGCAGGATGTCTCAATCTATAATATTATACAGAAATAAATATTGTAAACGATAAATGTGTACTAATGTTTATTTACAAAGAGCAACCCCTGGAGTTTCTTACTTATTCTTCTCAGGGGAATCTGTCTTACGAATGAGTAGTAGAAAAATTGACGTTAATGTTTATGTTACAGAGTAGTGAAATAGGCAATCGGACCATGATTGCTTTAAATGAGCAGGGGGGTGAGTTCTTTGTTTCTTTAAACATGCTTTTTGTATAACCATCGCTTCATTCTACAGGCAACTGTCTTCTATGGGTTACACTAAATTAGCGGGCGTGCAATCGGCTTACTAAACTTAAGAAGGCTGTAAAAATATCACTTGTTTCGCTTCGGCTCGCTACCCGACTTATCACTGGCCTGTGACGAAATGGGGTTTTGTATAGTAGTGGAATCCTTAAATTTAAGAGTCGATACTACATCAGCTCGAATGAATTTTTTTCCCGTACTAATACGGTTCATTTGGCTGGATCAAACGGCAAGGACACTGGCTTTATTTCTGATTTTATTTTTTTACAAACGAAATTAAAGCCATTTAAAAAATGTATATCGTATACTATACGTGTTCTATTTAGTTCAATTGATATTAAAAAAAATCATTGGTATATGTAAAGTACCTATTGAATACAACGGTTTTCTTATAAAATTTCGAAGAAAGTTTGTGTTTTTTTCAGTCGTGAAAATTTTTAAGAATCGTGTTTTCACACCTTATACATATGTAATTTTAATATATATTTTTTGCAAAGTGATTGATTCCACACTTTCACTGTTATGCGGAATCAATCAAATCCATATGCGGTTGTATAGATTCTTAAACTCACTTGCGTAATCTTACGCTTCAAACGTGAGAAGGTGGCGTCTTGCGTTCTTGAACTCGTGGTCGCTTGGTGACTAACTCCTGCCTCTAGAATCCCGGACATATATTTTTTTGTGATCTCAAGTTCCGGGACGAACAAGTCGTTCGCCTGGTGGTAAGCGACGCGTCTGTCCATAACAGTTGCAATGCCACTCCAGAGCTTTAAATCTCAAAGATCTGTGGGGCACTGCCACTGCACCCGTCACCCGTGTCTTATGTTGACCAGGCCCATGTGCCTGTAATTTCACCAGCACCTTACCCTTCAAAACCGGAACACAATAATGCTTACATTACTGCTTAGCGAAAGAAATAGGTAAGGTGACAGCACGTCCCTGGACGAACTCTTTTGCAAGAAGCTCTACTTCTATTGACTTATGTATACCTATTTAGAATAGAATAGAATATAATAGAAATCGTTTATTACTACGAACTATTGCTATTTAGTTATGCTAATACATAATGCAAGCCACCTCAGCCTAACGGTCGTATTTGAAATAATATGTTTTTTTATTGATAACCGACTTCAAAAAAAGGATTCCTTAATCCGACTGTATGTTTTTTTGTATGTATGTTACGCTATAACGATTTGTGAACCCATTTTGATGATTCTTTTTTTGTTGGAAAGAGGGTACCTACCTCAGTAGTGGTCCTATTTAAATTTGAAGAAAATATTCTACCTCTAAGGGTGGCAAACTAGAATATGAATCCGGTTTTAGCGCACTTTCCGGTAACTGATTGCAATAAAACTTGGCAAATAGATGTACTCGTAATTCCACAAACTTTTGAAGTCGGTTTTTTAGTACTCTGTACTGAGATTATTATACAATGTGTTGATTGGCAATCTCACCATATTTACAGAGTTCATTCTGTATCCAAAACAGAACCCAAATCACTAAAAAAATAAATCGAACAAAAAATTCGTAAATTCCTATTTTTTATTTAATTGCGGTAAACAAATTTGATCCAAAGGTCGCTTGCACGGCACTTGCAAATATTTTGAACAAGAAAGAAACGCATATTAGATCAATTTGCGTGTTTATTCTTATGGCATGATGTGAAAAGTTTAGTTTACTCGAAGTTTCTGCTTTCAAAGTTGTGAAGTCTAATGTTGAAACGAAACTCACGTGCGAATCTCAGCATGGTGGTGGCTCCCGTACGGAGCTGTAGTAGTAGGTACTTCTAGCAATACTTTCATGTAAGTTAAAGTTGGTAAGTACCAAATCTAAGTTACAAAAAACTTTTTTCAGTCAACTTTTCTAATTGATGTAAATAAATAGTAAATTATAACAATACTAGTACATAATCATAATTAAAAAAAAAAAACTAAATAAGCTATCGAGAAAGATTACGTATCGCTCGATGAAGCGGGTGGCGGCGTTCACTGCCCTTGCGTGATGCACACGAGTTGAGACAATTTTGCAAAACTTACTAGATACAATATTTATATATATTAATATATAAATATTGTATCTAGTAAGATATTGTAGGATAATTTTTTAAATATTTTTGGATGATTGAGCATTATTTCTATTATTAATTTCTTAAATATGGCGAGAATGCAAATGAACACACTGTTTTGAATATTATGATGATATTACTACCATGATATTCAATAGTTCTATTATAGGCATCTCGTAGTTTGATGATTGTTTAATTTTGTTTGAGCTATAAATAAATTAAATGATATTTATATATTTTTTTGTGAAAATACTCCACTAGTTTGTTATTATTATTCATATAAAGATCGAAAAACACAAAGATAAATCCTATCTAATCTGATTGGACTCGAACCAGAGTTTGTTGCGATACCGAAATCACCGCTCTTACCACACTTGTATTTTTCAGAAAAACTAAATTTCATAGACGAAGCAAACAGAGCTATCAACGAAGATGTCCGACAAGCTGAGAAGAATATTGAAGGAATGGAAAAGTGTTGTGGGATATTTTCTTTTTCCTGGACGAGGTAGGTAGTTTTGTATCTAATGTGACGTATAACCCGCAGAAGACCTCACACGTATGTGCTTTACCTTTGTGATCGTGAAGCGCTAACCATTTACCATCCAACAAATCGCCCACTCATTGTTGGTTATCCGGACATGATTTTCATGCGACGCATTTTTATTAAAAGTTACAGTTTTACTGCAAAAGTTTTGTATACATATATTTGTACACGCATAAACTAACAAGCTAACAAGCTTGTTATATATTTCGATGGTTGACTTCATTTTGTTTGTGCAATCTCCGAGTTAGTTAAGTTTAGTTAGTTCGTTCTCAAACTAACGATTATAAAATTCAACTAAGTACCTATACTTATTTTTGTAAATCTTAAATAATTTACGAACGCACCCAAATTGAAAAATATACTTACTCGTGTAGCTTGATTTTGATTGCCTCTACCGATAGGAAACTGCGTCTTTTCCGAGTCGAGGCGTATAATATTGCGGATGGGCAACTCGATCGGATCCATTCCGATTTGAATTGAAGTCAGGGCCCAGAACATGGTTTCCCAAAGTGGTCCGTACCGTCCCCCAGTGAGCTGAAGAGTCATATTCACATATATCTATTGCTAAGTCCTATGAGTCCTCAGAAGCGGGGCGTTGAGAGTGTCCAGTAGGGTTTAGTACGATAGAACGCGACTAGTGCGAGAGCGACATAAAGCGCAAGATACTGCTATTCTCGCATGGAGATCTCGAGGCTTATGTCGCTCTCGCGCAAATCGCGTCTTATCGTGTTAGTCCTACAGGTGGTGCAACCGCATTTCAAAAAAAACCCTGAAATATATAAACTGCTTTACATAATTATATATAATTTTTTCCTTGTGATTTTTGTGTTAGTTAATATAAAAAATACGTGTTTTATATACATGAAATTTTTTTAAGTTGCCAAAGTGGGCGGTGAGCCAAAAAGTTTGGGTACCTACGCTCTAGAGGGTCAAAAGTCACAAAAAATGTTGGAAAATCTGCTAACACTGGAACTTCGAAGTGCGCTCTGACATATCGCTTAGGCCGGTACGGTACGGTGCCGTTTACTTTGTTAGTTACAATCACAAAAATGCTTTTGCGTTCGCTACAACTGGTTATACCTAAATCATCGGTCGCAACTCCTGCGGGATCTGTTATTCCAATGTTTAAATCTCTCATATAATTTCACACATTTTTAGAGTACAGATAGTATCGTTTATAGAAAGTGACAAAGACATTTGTGTAAAGGAACGCATAAATGTTCCTAAATTACGTTCTTTTATTTTTTTTCCATCTTGTAAGATTACGACAGATATATTTTTGTATTTTTTTTATTAAACAATAAGTTGTATAATTCAATTTGGCGGTGATAGCCTAATGGTTTGACCTACTGACCGCTTCTCAAGCAGAGGCCGTGTGTTCGAATCAGGGGTCCCAGGTCTAAGTTTTCCGGACTTCAGATTAAATAGGAAGGAATTCAAATTAACTGTGAGTTTTTCGGTAAACGAAAACATTGTAATGAAACCTGCACGTCGCGTCGTGGCGAACTGTGGCCTAGACCCTCGCCTGAGAGGAGACTCGTGCCCAGTAGTGGAACGTATAAATGGGTTGATGTTTTTATTCCATTTCAAATTATTTTTCAAGATGCCTGTTTTCAATGAGTATGTGTACGTATTTCTTAACTTGTGTATCTTCTAAGCCTGTGTATTACGCATGCTAATTTCCAGATCTAAATCCAACAAAGCAGACAAAGTTTGGAAAGAAAATGAGGAGGAAGTAGTATCAATACAACCACAGCGAGTGTCTATAAAAGAAGATCCCCCAGGGTTCTATATCGACAAGTACGTAAATAAGGATTGACAATTATATATAACAACTTCGAGTATAGAGTTTCCAATCTTCATGGCAGTTAGCGGTATAGCTATGCGACATGATCTTCGTCTTATCCATGTTCATATTAAGATCGACTCATTCGGAACCTCTGCTGAGGTCATCGACCATTGTACTGAAGTCTGCCGTGGTCTCTTAAAAATTCATTTAATAGATTGTAATAAAACAAATGTTGAAACCAAAAGTCAATACTGGCGTCCGGATTTCAGGGTCTAAAAGCACCTTGTCCGCCTTTACTATGGCATTGTTCTTTCCAGAATAACTAACGATGAGATGGAAGACGAGATGCAACAGAATCTGACGCAAGTGCATTCGACTGTGGGTAACCTTCGAAATCTCGCCGCTAGTCTCAATAGCGAGGTTTTAAACCAGAACCGTCAGCTCGACAAAATTAACCAGAAGGTAAGTAATATGAGGGAATCGCTATAATATATCTACAAAATCTTATTTCAGAAACTAGGAACAAAACGCAGCTATTCATAATAATAAAATGCCAGACAACTACACCCTTATTATAATTATGAATACAAAGATGGAAACACGCTCGTGCAATACCTACTTTTCTCTTAATAGACGATATTTATGTTATGTGAGACCGTAGATAAGATAGTACAAGCCTAAAGTATCTATACGACGTGGTAAGAAGGGCACTCCCTACATTCCTGCCATTTGTCGCTCTCTTCTAAGTGGTACAAGCTAGCAATTTCGGGTGTGTCATGAGAGAAAATATTTATTATTTTAAAGGGCGTGTATTGGACATATAAGGATTTTAAAGTAGAATTCAGATCGTAACTTGTGATTTAATCTATGTTGACCGAGATTGAAATAATTTTGCTAATAAATATGAAAGTAAATTAATTTGCTACTTCGCGAACCCAGTGGAGGTTAAATCATGCGAAATAGCTGCGCTTGTGTTGAATATTTTTTCATGCAGTTAGTTTTCCCACCGTATCTCCGCATAAAATTAATAAAACAAATAACATAAGCGCACCTACACGCACATATAAATATAAATAAAAAATAAATATAAAAAAAAAGAAAACAGTCAGTACGCCAAATAAACTGATTTATTGATTAAAGAGTATAGTAATAGCACAGTTATTATAGTACTATACTAGTACAGATACCCAATCTCATACAATCCGTTGGCGCGAAAGAGTACCATCTACGTTTGTCCCGCCTTATGAGTCTTCCTCCTGGACGTGAATTGCCATGGCCGAACTGCAGCTTGATTTTGATTGCCTCTCCCGATCGGAAACTGCGTTTCTTCCGAGTCGAGGCGCATAATTGCGATTCAGAACTTGCCGATCAGAAACTTTTGACGTTTCTAATCGGAACAATAGATGACTTAACTCACAAATTAGAAAGATATAGTAGGAATCAGGTTCATTTTCTCGCTCAGAAACCCATCTGATTTCGAGACTACCCGATCGATTCCGATTTGAATCAACATCAGAACGCTGGACGTCTTTGAATAGGCTTCGAACTCAGGTTGATGGAGCAAGGATAATTTGTTCAGGAGGGGATTTTCGGATGGTTCTAACCTGGACTGTTTGTGCGGTGCGACTCAAACGATGGCCCACCTCATATCGTGCCCTGCGTACCCTAACACCTGCACGCTTGAGGATTTAATGGCAGCTTCTAGCGACGTGGCCGGCGTGGCTGAGTTCTGGACCACAATAGCATAATGTATGTCATCGATACGATAAGAAGACCAAATCGGATCAGAAAAAGTATCGCGTTTACTTGTTCATTTGAAGAAAGTTCGATCGATCGTAAACGTAATAATCGATCTTCTGTTTTTATATAAACATTGTGTACCGACAATAATCAACTTGTAAGCGGATTTAGAAATGTTTTTTCGGCAAAACTGACCTCAAGTTTTAGATTAGTAATATCACAAACAAGTAATTAATGACATCAAATTGAAACAAAAGAGTAACGGGCGTATCAAGTGCTAGGCTTATATCATACTTATAAAATAACAACTAGATATTTTAATATAGCCAAAGAATGATGTAACTGCTTTTTTTTATTTTCCACAGCGAGAAATGTGGCACGACAAACAAACAGCACTGATATTAAAATATTGCCAAATTGGTTTTAACAAAAACCAAGTAACCACAACAAATCAAATCTTCATTGTGAGTTTGCAAGCATTCACTAATCAATCCATCATCCTCCACCTCCATCTCACCTGATGGACAGTGACGATGAGGTCGAGGATGTAGCATGCACACCAACTTTTCACTCTCACCTTGAAAAGGTCCAAGTTATAGCGTTCGGGGAATACGTTCGTAGGCAGGGAATTCCACTCTCTAGCCGCTCGCCATATAAATGTGGAAGCGAAACGCTTCGTGCGAATCTTGGGAATATCCACAACATAGGGGTGGAACCTCAGCCCACGTCCAGTCTCTCGAAGATAATAATAATAATAATAACGCACGCACTCAACATAGCCCCGCACTAGGGAAAACACTGTGTCGCGGGTGCCATGGACACACACCAACCATAAATTACACCCAAACTCACAAGAGAAATAAATATAAACCATACAAATATTTCTCCCGGCCCGGGAATCGAACCTGGGACATCTGTGTGGCAGTCCGACATAGTAACCGTTCGGCCACGGAGGCAGTTCGACGAAGATGGAAAAGGTAAGGCGGAATCAAATTATGCAATTCCAGCGCACACTCCGTAATATATTCTATAGAATACCGATAAGCTGGCAACTCTACGGCGGTGTTCAAGGCTCTGTAGCTTCGCCTGTACTGATTCCGAGTCACCTATAAGCCTCTTAGCACGCTTGTCTATTGAATCAAAGGTGGCCAGTTGGTATTTAGCAGAGCCATCCCATAAGTGGCAGCAGTCCTCCATACGCTACCGGACTTGTGATTGGTACTTACAGCTGAAGCAACTGTCTCGGTGTGAAGTAACGCCTCACATTGGAAAGGATGCCACGCTTCTTGGCTGCATTTTTGGCCATGGATTCAACGGATATCTGCCGAAGTTCAGACTGGACGACAGGTCCATTCCAAGTAGGTGAAGACGGTCGGCTATCGGTACGGATATATCACGAAAAGTCGGAGTCAGGTGAAAGGGACTCCGTTTAGTGGAGAAAAGACACGCCTGCGTTTTGGTAGCATTAAATTTGACAAGATTGGCACCGCCCCAATCGGAGACCGCCTTAAGTGTCATATTCAAACGACTAACCATGGATTATGAAATATCCGGCAATCCGGCGCAGTTGATCGCCGGATATCCAGTATCCGGCCAAATCACTATCCGTTTCATGTCTAATTTATACCCGCATCATATAAGTCAAACACCGCCTCGTAATAAGTCTGCAGTCTGCGCGCATGTGAAGGATAAACCTGCACACACAATTAAGTTCGACAAAAGGTCCCAGGTCCTTGCAAAAGAATTCCGTTATCTACCCAGGATGCTGCGAGAGGCCATTGTAATTTAAAAAAATCCTAATTTCAACAGAGAAGACGGTTTAGAGGAGTACAATTTCAAACCCCGCCAAAACACTTTTCATCAAGTAACAGTAAAACGTAAAAAACTTTAAAACTCATTATTCTAAACCAGATCTTTAGAAAAACACAGTGACAGCTTTATGTTGAGACTAGCAATACTTAAGAACCTGGTTTCCTAGGAGAATAATTGAAAATTACGGAAAAGTAACCATTTTAATTTTTGTTTTAGCGGATTTTGAAGTACACATTTGATTTTAGCAGGCTTTGACATAAACATTGTTCGTTATAGCGGGATTTGCAACCGACAGATTTTGACATGTGGATGGTTTTATGCAGTCAACAGTCATGAATATTAAAATGTTAACAAAGCAATTTAGGTACATTTATAAAATTTGGAGGAACATGAAAATGAATACGAATGAAAGTATGAAAATTGTTTATTAATAAGATTAATACAAAATGATGGACGGAAGAAAAGAGTGGAATTCAGGAAAAATATTAAATATGTGTTTCAACATCCTCAAAACCATGTTCACTGTAATGGTCCTTAATATCCTTTTTACTATCGAAGCTATTCACTACTGTATCGACACTTTGCATTCTTACTTCAATTTTTTTGTAATACTCCAAAGTGGGTAAATTTCTACAACCTGTCCCGAAATGCTTTTCGAGAAGTTTGGTAACATCATCGACCTTAGCTTTCATTGGTGAAATTGTGTTAGCTAGTATTAAGTCCGGAGAGAGCATTATATATTTTTTGTTCTTTTTTGTAATATTTTTTTTATCATTGAGTTCGCTTCTATAATTAATCTCTCCGTTAACGAATACATTGTCAGATTTCGACCTAGTTAAGAAAAAACGCTTGGATTTCATAAAAGGAAAATGCCATGAACTAGTGGGTTTGATAACAGTTTCATAACTTTTCTTCCAGTCGTAAATTGGTATCGTTGAAAGGTCTGTAACAGTTCCATTTTCTTCAAGCACAGAGACGTATTCTGCAGTACAAGTTACAGCCTCTTTAGTTTTTAACACTTTTTCGATTTTAGCGAACACACGGTCAGGAGATGTAAACGAATGTCCGACTATGGGGTATATTACTTCGACTTTTTTACATGTCTAGGTGCTTCACAATACAGCCATTTACCCAACATAACAACCATTGTAGTATTCTTATTCTGTCCGGAATAGCCGTCGCATACAACACGTAAGATCTTGATTTTCTCGTTGAAGTAACTTGTAGTAGGTAATGATATACTGTATTTACAATTTCATTCCCGCCCTTCTTGTGGACTACTTCACTCCAATGATATGAATGAACATTTTCTTTGTTTAATTTTGAATTAGAATTTCCATCTACACACATCAAAAGTGTGCAATTAGGGTTAATTATATTAACTTTTTTGTATCGCTATTGATACTTCTTAGTGAGTTTTAACATTTAAATAAGGAATATTGTTTAAAATTCACAAACAATAAAATAAATTAAATTAATAAAATTTTTGACAAAATCATTACAATATCTGCATCGAAACCGAAACAATTTACATTATTATGGAGATACGACATCATTTAACCCGAGAAGTGATGATGCGAGCCGTCGGAATGTTGGAAGCTGGTTCCAGGCAACGTGCTGTGACTTTCACTCTTAACACTACACAGAGCGTCATAAGTCGCCTCTGGACGCGCTATCGCATGACGGGCAGCGTGGCAGATGGAGGCGACATGGAGGACGATCTCGCATCACGACTTACAATTGCAGTGATAAAAATTAAACTGTCGACTAAAATACGCTGATTGGTCTGGGAGCTTAGGTAGCGGCTGGTTTTTCTGACAATCGAATGTAATAGTTTTGATGGTCTCATTTTCCTCTTGGAGTATTTTGTAAAACACTTTATACTTTAATCTGTGAATTCTTTTATTCGTCATAAGTTCATGTTTTTTTCTGGTGTCACTGTCAGCTTTTATTTGTTCTTGCACGGAAGTACATGTAGAGCAGACGGTTGTTCTCGGGGAACCAAAACCAATGTTGTAACATGTATTAAATATATTTCGATAAAAACATTGTGTAACCTTAAGATCATTCTGATTTTCTGCATTATAGACCCGCCATAATTTTCGAATATTAAGCTCGGCCGGGAGATATAATCTTTGTGTTTTTGAACGACAATAATGACTTTCTTGGCACTTAAGTTTTTCAATAAAACATTCGACTGACACTCTTTTTGCCGCGTATTTTTGGGATTTTCGACCACCCCCTCTCTTTTCTACTGGATGACAGCTCCACTTTTATAAAATTATACCCTTAATTCTATCTTTTTTAACCAAAAGAGCATTCAAAAACTTTTTTGGCAAACTGGGATCATTTGACCGTGGTTTCCAATAACATGATATTTAGTCGCAATGTTTCTTTTAGAATTTTCTTTTTTATTATAAGCTTTTTTTACGTTGCAGTATTTCAATATGAAATGGTCTTGAGAAATTTTAGTCGTACATTTATAAAAATTCCTATGAAATCTGCTTATATCCTGGCGAGAAAATTTAGCACATGTGAATGATTTTTGGTTATGATTGCATAGCGGGAACTTTGGTAAACCTTTGCTTTCATACCTGAAACAATATGTTTTTTAATTGATAAGATCCGTCGGTGCGTTTTGATTCAGTAGGAGTGGAGAGGAGAGCGTAGCAGTGAAAGGACCAAAGAGAAAAGCAGGGTTCAGATTTCGAGCATTGTACTACGGTAAGCTGCGCCTTCATGGAAACGAAGCATTATACTGACTTGGGTTAAAATAAGATGTTTTTTTTTATTACTTGGATATTACAGATAATTACAATATACCATAAGCAGTTAGTAATCTACCTTTCATATAAAAAAAATCTCGACTACGTTTCCCATGTGATGAATGCAAGAACAATTTAAGAGAAAATAGACCCCGACATTTTGCATAACACCATCACCTTCACTTTAACATGTAGTTTGATACAAAACTTTACGTGCCGTTTTTTTTGCTCCGTCACACGTTTCCATGTTGATTTATTACTTTTTCTCTTCCTGGCATGTTTAGGATCACATTTAGTAACAAATTGAGTTGAATCATCCATTTTTTTTGAAAATAAACATAAAAAACCAACAGTACTTCTTCACTTTGTTGACAAAATCGCCATACTGTTTGTTTGTTTTTGCAGTGTCACGTGATGCAAATGCCGTGCTGTGATTGGTCGATTTGGATTTAGCGGAATTTGAAATGCATTGGGAATCTTTTAGCGGTGTTTGCAACAAACTGTTACTTCTGTAAGCTGATTTGTTAGGATTTTAGCGGGATTTGATAATAATTATTAAACCAAGTAGAAAGAATGAATGACAGCGCTTCATATTCAAGCGAAACAATGTTTTTGTTCAAATATCGTTTTGGCGGGTTTTGAAACTGAACTCCTCGTTTCTCCGTACCACAAGTTTCGTATCCAGTATTTCTTCTGATGAAAAATCCTAAGCAGACATAAGACTGCAGTACCTACCTACTAATTAATATGTTTTAATTTATTCTAATTACCATTAATAATTGATAATAAAGTTTAATTTAAATTTATATTGTTATAATAAAATGATTTGTATAGCGTAAATATTAATGTTCTTTAAAAAATTAAAAATAAGGTACTTAATTAATAACTTTTGTAACGATAGTGAAATATAGGGTGGTTTGCGTTAATATTAGACATATTAACTAGTTGACGACTTTATCATCTCCGGCACTCGTAACCATGGGACCTTTAAAGTGCCCGAAACGTTGGTTTGTTTGAAAAAACAAATACACCCGATTTTGATCCGAAAATATAGTTTCAATTCCTATGTGTAACAATCGCGAAAACCTAAGAACTCGATATGAATTATTCTATTGTAATAATTAATATCTCGTAACACGGTTCTATAAGTATATATATCTATGTAGCTTTTTAAAATAAAATCTAAATATTGTTTCAAATTGACAAAACAGAAACTGTTAATAAAAAATATGTTTCAAAATTCATAGCGCTTACGTTTTTTAAATTTCAGATTTGTTTCCTGATTAATACTGTTTTTTTTCCATTTCAGGTCGAAAGCAACGAAATTCACGTGATTACAGCCGAGAAACGTACACAAAAATTCGCAACCAACTCACACGGTCATGCGTTGAAGAACACCTTATCTCCTCTTAACACTGCGAGAACGTCGGGTTCGAGTTCTAGAGTAGTTTCGTTCGAGTAAACATGTTTTTTTATTACCCCAAAACGTCTTAACTGAACAGGGAATTGTATGGAGAATATTTTTTTTTATATGATACCAATCAACGAGACGAACAGGTCGTGCACCTGGTGGTAAGCAACACGCCTGTCCATAGCAGTTGCAACTCAAACTTTAATTTGAGGAGCACTGCTACTGCGTCCGTCAACTTGAGACAAGTTCACAAAAAATAATTCCAATAATTGTAACTTTTTTCTAGCACCATATCTTGACTTAATGGTCTTAAATACGTTCAAACGTAAAACCATATATTAAGAAAAATTACCCCTCCCACCCAAATAGATGAACATAGGACCAAAGGTTTCTATAGAAAATCATTGAATGCTACAAGGTGTTTGTAATTATAGGAAACCATGTTTAAGAGACTAACGCTTTAATTGGAAAGCACCCTTAGGCTCAATTTATATTGCGGCGGAACGGAATGGAAGCGAATTTTTGTAACGATATTGTACATAGCATAATGAACTATAGTTATGGTCAATTGTGTAACGTACAAACTAAATACGAGCCAAAATCTTTCGCGGAATTCTCGCGTATGCTCGAGAAAGTTCGCGCATTCCGCGGAAGATTTTATGTTACACAATTGAGCATAAAGTTCATTATGCTTTGTACAATATCGTTACAAAAATTCGCTTCCATTTCGTTCCGCCGCAATACAAGTTGAGCCTTGTGCGTAAGGAAGTGAATATTTAAACTTTCAAAGGGTGCACCATATACAATTGTTGCTTTATGTGTGTATTGTAAGTTCGTAACGTACATTTGTCTAGTATTTAGTTGTAGGTAATGTTCGTGCTTCAACAAAGTACTTCTGACTGTTTGGCTGTGGTTTCTAAAACGTCAACATTTTTATAAATACAAATACTTATTAATA